CACAGGCTTGAAAGCCACTATGACTGGCCTAATATAATTCCATTGCAATATGTCAAGTACCCTTCTTGTGAGGACCAGCATAATCCTGAGGAAGACATGGATTCGAAAAGGTCACCAGGGGATGGAGGGAACCATTCACAACTCCTTCAACACTTGAGGGCACAGTCTTTGCATCATCTCTGATGATGCAGCTTCTCTTGGTGGTTCCCTTGCAGCTTCTCTGACTCCAAGGGCAGGTCCTCTGCAAGTCATTCAGCAGTTATCCAGAGCTAGCACGAGTTACACTTCAACCCTATGAAAAGGGAGCATCAGATGGCGGAAACAAAAAGGCCAGGCTCTGCCACTGTTTTCAAGACTGACTTCCTTTGCTGAGTCAACACCTTTTTCCAGCTCAGTTGTGTACAACGGGAGCTGTCCATGGTCCTGATTTTCTGAATCCACCAATAGCTTGCCTTGCCTTGTTCTGACTTACTATGGCCTGATAGACTGCAACCTGACATATATTTCTTGCCCTGACTTGCAGTGGCCTGAATGATGTACCCTGATCTACTTAACTTAGTCTAAGTTCCTTCAACATAGCCTTGTGGGTCCCAAGCCCTCACAACTAGGATACGTTCTTCCGCTTCACTAGCAGGGCAAACATCATGGCAAATATTTTGCAAACAAAAGCCGACATGGCGACACCAACAGACGGATCTGCACTTTCCTTAGTAACGTTGCCATCAACCACCAAGCAGAGGTGGTTGCCCATGATGCCCCCCTCCCCCGCCTCGCCAATTAGGCATGCCCCAGTCAACACACAGCTAAACAATCTGAGAGAGGGTTGTTAAGTTAGCACAGGAATCATCCACATCGCATGCTGGAAGGAGACCATGCTCTGCCATTATGAATTTTCAGATACTCTGCCGCTCTTGGCATGCTGGGGTGCAAAGGTGATTGCAAGGCTGATTTTGAATTACGGGTTTCCAATCATCATCATTCAGTGTTGAGTGTCTTGTTTTTCCAGCCCCAGCAGTAACACTGGGATTCCTGATGCATGTCTGTATCTGAAGCCCTGCGAGGGTCCAGAGGAAGCACCTGTTAGAAATATGGGCTTCCCATTTTAGCGGTTTGCACAAGGTGTTCTTTCACAGTTCTCTAAATGTGTGCTCTATATTCTGTGTGGACCTTAGGACAGGTGTAACCCAATGTCACTGGGCTTGATATATGAGATATGGATTCCCTAAATGGGAATATGCCCCTATAATATGCCACAGATGATGTACAGAGATTGGCTGCAATGTTAGACATTATCTTATTCTCCATAGCTGCTGAGGTAGAAAGGAAAAGGTGGAGAAATGGCTGTCATCTGGAGCTGTTTGTTAATTCCAGTGGAAATATTTAAACATGTACCACTTTTGCAAGGTAAATGTTACACCACTGAAGGGCGTAACCCAGTTGCCGTTATAGCTAACAAGCGCTGATAAAACATCACATTCTCCACATGTAAACATGTAGCTGGTGGCAGCATTCCTCCACCCCCAACTGCATGCAAGGATGCCAATAAGCTGGTGATTATTTGTTCTAAAGTGCTTTAATCTACCATGGAGAAATAGGAACAATCCTCCTTCAATCCACAGGTGTAACTGAAGAACAGAACTGGTTTGTCAGATGACTAATTTTTCCATCAGAAGAACAGCCATACCAAACTCAGTAACATAGGAAGCATGTATATTCACTAAGCACTTACCACACCATTTTCATCAAGCCATATTTTTAATTTAATAGTGATATCAAACAAAACAGGAAACAGACTGAATTTCTTACAAAACAATTATGTTCCTGTGCAAGTCATATTTTTCAGGTTTGCTGCAAATGTCTTCGTTATGGAGATATTCGCATATTACATTCCCTTCGAACAATTCTGCCCTATAGCTAGCTTCACTGTATGACAATATCATTTTTTTTTGCATTTATATTTGAATTCATAAGCTTCTTTTCTGCCCCAAAGCCCAAAAAATGAGTTGAAGCAATTTAAAATCCTTTTAATTAAAACTGTGAACACAGTAAGGAAAGGCAAGAACAAAATTTGAGACACAAAGACTAACAAAGCAGAGTTAGACCAACAGGACAAAAAGGCCTGGGAAAACAAAAGGGAGAGGCACGGTGCCAGGTGTGCACCCTGAGAAGTAAGTGAAAGGGGCTCGGCAGTGTTCTCCTCAGTCACCTCACCCCTCCCCTTGGCCAACAGGGTAATCCAAAGGAGAGTTTCTTAGGTAGAGCGTTTTAGGTGGGCAGGAATAATCAGAAAGCATGCATGCACTCTCTGCTCCAGAGAGATTCAGATCACAGGCAGTCCCCCCAAAAGTGCCATATGTATAATGGGCTGGATCCAGGTACAGGGACATACAATGGTATCGAGGGAAGCAGGCTTTCCTCTCTTTTCTGTTCACAGGAGCGCCTTCAGGTACCAAAAAACCACACAGAGGTCCAAGAGCCTGGACGGGAGGCTGTGGTGCAGGCTGGGTTGAGGGAGCAGGTGTCCCTCAACACTGAATGGAAGCACTTTCCATAACTGCTTATAGAAGGTGCCTCTGTCCGACTCTTGGTGATTCCAATCCAGCAGTTTCCAGGGAATTCTGTCACTTTGGGGAAGTTGCAAGAGCTGTTGCATGGAGGAAAAGGAGGCAAACCCTGCTTCTGCCCACCCAAGTGAACATAGCGAAGTCTGAATCCATGTGCTGTATGGGAGTGGTAATGGTGTAATTTCATATGTATGGTATAAAGAGGAAAATAATATACAAATTAAATTCTCAGATAGTTTGAAGGATTTGGATTTGGTTTAAATCTACAAGTATTTGGCATGAAGCACAAAATAAAGTATTCCAGTCCAATCACATCCTGCTTCTAATAAAGAAAATAAACACACTGGCCTTATTCAAAAGTTAATATTGGATTACTGGCAATTAAATAAAAGTATGCTAATAGTGCATACTAGTGTATTAGATGATCAAACATATCCATGCAAAATAAATAATGCTAAAGCAAGAAACCATTTTCCACCCTCTCAATTATTAATCAAACTGCATTTATCTAAAGGAAGTGAAGATATCACACCTAACTCATTTCTTCAGTACAGAAAGAACAAGGTAAACAGTGGACTTTACACTCTTTTAGAACAAATTAAATATGTCTGTATTAACTCCAACAAAGAAGGCAAATACTTCTTCAACATACTTTTGAAAAATATTTGCTTATCAGTTGACTACGATGTTGGCTTCCTTTGGCAAAGTAACCCTTGGCAAAGTTGTTGGCATACTTTGACAAACTTCATGACTGTTTGCACGCACATGAATGGGACTGCCATCTTGCCACAGAGGACCTGATGTTCAGGTAACAAGAATGCTGCACCAAGGCTCCTGAACACAGCACCTGCAGGTGCCTGGGGATCTCTAGGCACCTGCAAAGGAGCTCTTAATCTATTGCCAATGAGTGACCAAATTTCCCCCATTTTAAAAATATATTTCCATGATTTGTATGAAAGACATGCAACTATGTATGTATTTATTATATTTATTTCCTGCCTTTTTTCCTTCCAATGCAACTTACACAATTCTCTTCCTTCTCTCAATCTTACCTCACAACAACCGCCCTGTGAGGTAGTTGGGCTGAGAGTCTGTGACTGGCCCCAGTGAGCTCCATGAGTGAGTAGCGACTTGAACCCAGATCTCCTGAGTCCCAGTTTTGCATTCTTAACCACTGTGCTGCACTGGTGCTCAACATACTGATACACAGGCTTAACAGAAGCTGACCACATATCCATGAAAGTATTTATTTGAAGTTGGCTTCTGTATGCCACCCATTAAAATACCAGAACCATTATAAGGTCTTCAAGCCAATGAATTGCAGGAGGTGATTATTTATCTTTCCAGTGCTGCAGTCTTAGTCTTTTAGCTGTCAAAAGGTCACAGAGATAATGATAAATATTTCTTAACTTCCATAAAGCAGGTAAATAATCAAAAGAGCATCTGTATCAATGAATATCAAGGAATGTTCCACTACCAAATTTATCTGTGTATTCTTTCCTGGCTCACAGAAAAAAAATCATTAAAATTGTTAAAACATATGTTTAAGAAGCATTAGGTTTGTTGTACCACCAGCAATTTGCTGAATAATATAATCCCAGGTGTCCGATAGACAAGGCACAAGAGTTTTTGCTCAGTAAGATCTATAGACATGACAGAGAGATGGGCAGATTCCAAAGCAATGCCCTACTGGTTAGGCAGTTTATGTTGGTGCACACAGCAGTTTCCCAAATTCTCAAATGTGCCCATGCATCCAAAAAAGTTAGGGACCCCTATGCTACACAAAGGTCCAGAGGACCCTGCTTACTGGAGAATTCTGTGGTGTGTGGGGGGTGGGCAGGGGGAGTGAAGAAGGAGAACACTGAACACTGGATGGAAACATTCACTTTCAACTTGTAATGCTTCAAGTTCTACAGTGGCCAGTGCATACTTCTGATAGCTCTCTTGTTTTCTCTTTTTTCTTTTCTCGGGTTTGAATCCCGAACCAGCCTTTGATACTGTGTGACCTATGTAACTCTCTCTTAGCCTAAACTTCCTTCCTTACAGAGTTGCTGTGAAGGTAAAATAGGTGAGAGAGAAAAGGTTCATGCATGCCATCCAGAGCTTCTTAGAGAAAGGGATGGATTCACATGCAATAAATAAATAAATAGTGCAGGACTGAAGATTAAACAGCTTTTTCTTGGGTTTTTCCTCCCTCAAATGTCCCTTGCCCTGTTCATGATCTCATCGTGAGCTCACCAAAAAAGCATGGCACTGAATGTTTATTATAAGAGAAGAATCATATCAAAACAGTATCAGAAAAGCACATGCAAAAACTTCCACCAAGATGACAAAAACAAATTAGAATTTACAGATTCCACATCACCACCCCTAAGTGATTGCGATGGATTATTGCAGGGATAACTCTAGCCTGACTCTTAGAGACTTATGAGTAGAATGACAACTCCCAGTAATATGCTGTACATTTTTACCACCAATGTTTATGGTGGTGCGAAGAAGCTGTCCAGGGCTTTTGGAAACAGAGGATGTAAGAGAGAAGAAAAGTAGTTTGCACAAGCCACTCATGGTGCTGCATCTACAGAGCTGTAGTAACAGCATCCCCTGGGCTCCTCTGTATAAGCAAGCACTGGCCGGTCATTACCAATGCCTTGAAAGTCCATATATCCTTGCTGTCAAAGTTGTGCAGGAGGGAGATGCCAGTGAAAGTACTGATCTCTGAGAGTCATTTCACACATGATTTTTTTAAACCAATGGAGTGTGTGTGTGTGTGTGCGTGATGGGGATGGGAGGGAGCCATCCTCCTTGGTGAAGCATGACAGCACTGTTTATTCTGCTGCAACTTCAGGCAACTATCACAATGCAATCCCATGTGGCTGAACAAGTGAGAAGTAAATGACAGTGTTCTGAGTCGGACTTGGTCCTGCTGCAGCTCAAACTTTGCTGAGCCAGCAGTAGGGAAGGCCCATCAAGGCTGGAGCCTGATGCTCTGACGGGCCACCTTTCTCTGCTGCCCACGAGTCCTTGCTGAAATGAAGAACAGGGGCTCTGTTGAGCTCTGCTGCATCTGATGGATTAGGGGGCATTCTGCTCTCTGGAGGGTTCCAAGATACACAGAGACTTTAGAGCATTTGGCACGTCCAAGTTTCCCTTTCTTTGCTCGGGTGAGCTTCGCTTGAGGACTGCAGAGCTGACCCTTGTCTTTCTTTACCCCTGCCTTGCAGGTTCCGGATTCCACTCAGAGCTTCAGGGCTGCACCTGCCCGCGGAGCCAGCAGGACGCAGCGCGGCTGCCCAAGGGGACCGTGCGCGGGGGCGGCGGGAAGAAGCAGCAGCTCCGGCAAGAGGCAGCTGCTTCACGCGGCTGTGAGGGTGCGGCGAGGGTGGGTGGGGGGGGGGGAGAGGGGGGGGGGGGGGGGGGAATGCGCGGCAGGGCGCGCGGGCGGGCGCCTGGGAAGGGGACTCGTGGCCACCGCTGGCTCAGCTGCGTGGAAACGGCCATCGCTCTTCGCAGACGGTCCAGCGGGCCTTTTCCCGCGGGGCGTGAAAAGCTGCGGCGGCTTGCGGGGAAGAGGAAAGGAGCGCGCGCCGCGCCTGCCCTTGGCGCTCGCGGGCTCCGGAGCGCCCAAGCCCCTCCTCCGCCCTCCTCGCGCGCTTTCCTTTCGCCCTGAGACACACGCCCCCTCCGGCGCTCGGCGAGGCAGGGCCGGCGCGACGTCAGCCGGCGCGCGCGGTTCGGACTGCAGCGCTTTTAAAACGGCGTGTAAGCTGAGATGCTGCCGCAGAGAGCAGCGCGCCAGCGGCGGCGGCGGCGGCTCGGGCTCGGGCAGCAGGCGTCCCAGGCAGCCTCCGCTGCGAGGGAGACGCAGGGCACGGGCGCCCGTTCCGCGGAGGCAGCCCCCGCGCTTCTGCCTCGGCCCTCTTCGCGGCGGGGCGGCCCCTTCCCGGCTGATCCGCTCCCCGCGCGCCCCACGTCGCCCGCCCGCCCTGCTGCAGAGTTAGGGGGGATGTCAGCGGCTCCCCGCGCTACTCCGACAGCAACGCCGCCGCCCTTCGCCCCAGCCGCGCCTCGGCACCATGGACACCTCCGCGGCCGCCCGCGCGCTGCTCCTGCTCGGCGCCCTCGCGCTGTCAGTGCGGGGCGGCGCAGGCTCGGCGGGCAGCGCCGGCGGCAGGCGCCAGCGGAGCTGCCCGGCTGCCTGCCACTGTGAGCGAGACGGCGTGCTGCTGAGGGTGGACTGCTCGGACCTGGGCCTCGGCGCCGTGCCTGCCAACCTCAGCGCCCTCACCTCCTACCTGTGAGTGTCTCTGGCGCGCGGGGCGGGCGGGGCGGGGCGGGGCCGGCCCGGGCGGTTTGGCGGGCTTCCTGCGGCAGCCCGAGGCCGGGAGCAGAGGGGGCGAGCGAGGGGAGGAAGCTCCCTTTCCCCCGGTAAAGCCACCAGGTGTCCCCGCTCCCGGAGCCCCTTCTGCGCGGATGGTGACCCTGCGGAAGACGTGGCGTCCGCGATCAAGGGGCAGCCTTCTCCAAAAGAAAGCCATGCTGTTGGAAACAAGGGGCACCTTTTGTCCTCCGCCCCCTCCCAGAAGGATCCCGGCCCAAACTTCCACTTCACAAAAAAGCAAGCGCAGAAAGCCTTCCTCTTTCTTTAGGCTCGTTTGGGGCATGTGCGCCCGCTTCGGTGCTCCGTACAGGAGCGCACGTGGCGCTCTGTCGCTGCCAGGCAAACCTGCCGGTCTCACGACATTGCGGAGCGGTGCGCCAAAGGAGCAGGGGGTTCCGGATCAAGGGGCGGAAAGGTGTTTGCCCCTCCTTGGGGTGGACTGGGATCAAAAGGCAATTCTGTCAAATTAATGGTAGCTCACAGCCTTGTATCAGCCCATTCTGATTGCACTGCGGAGGCAGAGATGAAGCACATCCAACCATGTCTATACACAAGCAGCAAGGAAAACAACAACAACCCAGCAACAGATGCATCATGGATTAGGATGCAATTCTAGGCACTTTACACATGATCTAGGGAACATTGATTGGATGGGGTACCCACCATTCTGAACTATGCCATAAAGATTTCTCAAAATTCTGTGCTTCTGCATCAGAGTTTTGTGTTTCCATGCCGGAACCCTAAATCAAATTATTTATTCCATTTGATGAATTACCTGCAGATGAAGTGCTTTGAAAACTTCAAACTTGTTTAGGTTGTACTGCTTGTGGTATGTTTATAATGGATAGATATGAGGGAGCATACAAACAGTGGAGTTCTGAAACTTGGTTAAAATATATATTCTAAACCAGTATTACTGTATTGGAATTTTCTTGGTGGGACAAAATTCTTGCCAGTGGCAAAAGGGCCAGGAAGCAGCAGCTCAAAGATACTGCTTTTATTATGGGTTACATATGTTACATTTCTTTGTATTGTATCCATATTTTGTTCTTTTGTATAACAAATGCCACCAAACCTTTAATGCTTTGATTTTGGACTATTGACTCTTGTATTGCACTGACTGATCATATTAGCTCATTACTGTGTTGTCAAAGTACAATAAATTTGGGACGGTGTAGCACTGATAAATAGAAGATGAATGGTAACAGTTGATTTGAAGAGAGCTGGCAGAAAAAAATATGGTTAGAAAGGGACCTTCATGTATACATATATTTATACGCACGTGCGCACGCATGCACAGAAATTTATCTCTGGAAACCACTTTCATATAAGGTTCACCTGTAACCTCCAATTTTATCACTTTCATATATGAATTAGCCTGCAGCCTGCAGTGATCCTGCCTGCTTTGGTTGTAGTTGCTCTACATGCATCGAGAAGCTGTGATTGGCTCTGGTGTACATATACACTGGATAATCCCTGCCTTATTCTAGTGTGTCTTGAACCAGGATATCAGTTTAGAGTCAAATCTCTGCACACGTAGGATGCCAATAATATTTAGAGAAGATTTACAGGAGGCTTCATAGAAATATAATTAATTTCTTGCCTAAGGGTGTGTGTAATCTGTCAGTTTCTGAAAATTTTGCTTTAATCATCTGTATCAGGTAATGGAATATAAGCCATTCACAAACATTGTGGTGTTATCCATTGGCTAGGTGTAAGGGACTTACACAAAAGTACTATATGAGTTATTGTTTATAGAGTAATTAAAAGTGAGGCAAGAGCATAAACTTGACTAGACTTGCCAGACATTATCTTTATCTTTGCCTCCCAAGGCAAGGCTTTGAACTGCTGCATTTTATTTAATCTTTAACTGATCTTCATCACAATTTGTAGGGGTAAAATAGTGCAGGTACCTATACAGACAGGTAAATGCTGCCATAGCATCAGCAGAAAACACGTGTCCCTTATCCAGGAGATCTTTGGGATTCAGCTCTCTAAAAAGAAAAGTATACTGCATGCTCCTGATCAAACTCAAGACCAAATATAGGATCACAAAAGAGTGCAGCAGCCCAGAATGGACATTTCCGTGCCTTTCTGAAGACCATGGACTCCAATTTTGTCTGGTACTGGATACCTACCTTCATCTTACCCAGGCATTGGTACTAGGTGTGTTGTCTTAGAAAGGCTAAGGTAACTGCACATGTTTAGACCAACTAGCTCAAGAGACAAATCAAATGTGGACACAGGCAAGTATAAGAATTTGATATATGAGACCCACTTAAAACCACTTTATATGTCAGAACTGTTCTTCCATACCAGGAGGGGATGCTGCAACACTATCTTGTGAATTTTAATCCATTACGGTTCATCCCATTTAAACTCCATTGAAGTACTGCTTCACACAATGTATAGTTAAACAATGGAATTTGCTGCCATGGGAAGTGGTGATGGCCAGCAATTTGGATGGCCTTACAAGGTGATTCGAACATCTTATGGAGGAGGAAGGTGTCCGTGGCCACTAGCCTCGCTGGCCATGTGCTGCCTCCTTCACCAAGGTGCGTGCCTGTATACATGAGCTGTTATGGAGCTTGGGCAGACAGAGGTCTTGCACCTATCCTGCTTGCGGGATTCTGTGGGCAACTGGTTTGCCACCATGTGTACGGAGCACTGGACCTTTGGTCTGATCCAGCATGGCCTTTTTATGTTCTTATGATCTCAGTTGCTATAAGTGTTAACATGACATTTGTTGCTATGCTTTTAAAATAGTATGTTTTTTTGAGAAAATTCCATTTTTCCCAAATGAACTGACAATAAACTGAGTTTATTTTATTCTCATGACACCAAGATTTGTTATTTGAATAGGTGAAATGTTATGACTACAACCCATTTTTTCAGCCAGCTTTTACAAACCTTTAGAATATGTGTATTACTTCTTATATAAATTCTTCTATAGTGAAGTGTCTGTCTTCATCTAAGACCAATATAATTTTGTTTTATTGAGTATAGATTTATATATTCTAGAGTTAATAGAGTGTTTGGAAATATAAGAAATTATTGTTTGTAAATCTAACATAAACCATAACTTTAGAAAACATTAAAGCTAAATAATGTTTTGCATATGTTAGTAACCGACCAGAATGTTGGTTGGGTTTGGTAAGCAGGATAGGAAGAATTCTATCCTTCAACTGCATCAAGTGCTAACATATTGTACACCACAGCTCATCAAAAACAGAGAGATGAAGGAAGCATTCAAAGTATATTCCAGATAATGTATGTTTTACTGCCAAAAATAGTCAACCTGTATTCCTCAAAGCTGAGATTTCAGATATCTCGCCAAACATCCACCATCAGCATATTTAGCTGCTGATGGCAACCTGATGGCTAATTGAATATAAACTGCATCATTCCCTTGTGTGTTTTATACTCTGATGCCAAGTATATTTACTTTACTTTTATTTTTGGAAAAGTTACTTGAAAGCAAGCATATAAGGATGGAAGGCTTATCGGTTGATCTTTTGCACATTCACCTACAAGTAAATATGCTGAGGATTGACCTATAATTACCATGAGAACTGACTGGTTGAAAGGTGATATATAGCTACATGAAGGGCACAATTCTTTGCATACTAAGACAGAACAGTATCCTGCAACTTTGCATTCCTCAGCCTTCAGGAATGCTGAAAGTTGTGGGACTTTTCTTTCTGGCTACACTTGTATAAAATGGCACCTTAAATAAAGTAAGTGTCACTAGGTTCAATGAGATTTACTTCCAAGTAAATGTGATAGCGATTTAACATTAACCACGTAACTGGTAAGCCAGAACAGTGTTGTGAAAATGCAGAGGAGAGAGAAAAGGTGGAGTTAGAAACTAATCCTTGCATGTTTTAAAGTGGCATTTCAGTAATTAGTTTCTGTAATATTTGGAAAGCTTGCTCCAATGTGTGTGTTTTCATCTAAAGAATTCAAATGCATTAAATGTCATGGACTACATGAAATATTATATAGCAGCCTTTCCCAGCCTGGTGCCCTTCAGACCACAGTTTCCATAATCCTTTACCATTGGTCCTGCCAGCAGGAGCTGATGGGAGTTGTAATCTCACATATCTGGAGGGTACCATATTGGAGGACAGAGTGTCTACCTAACTTTGGTTATTTCAGACAAAACCTAAAGAAGTGATCCAGTGACACCTCCCTTTGCAGTTTGCACAAAGTTGCTTGACTCAACCAAACTTTGACTGTGTGTGTGGTGACAGCTATATCTCATTTACCACTTTTTATTGATGACTGAAAGATAGTAAAAAAAGCTATCCTATGCATAGTTAGACACACAAAAAAGTTCTACAGCTTCCAACATTCCTGAGCTAGCATGGCTACCTTTGTTTTCTGTCAAAGCATGGTTAGGATTGCACCATAAATAGTATTGGAAAAATCTTGGTTGCTCAAGCACCTAACACTGGTGCCATAGAATTACAAAATATTGCTCTGTGACTGGTGCTTGAGGATAAGATGTTTAATGCTTGTTGATAAGAAATTGTATCTATATGTCTCCATAACATTTCAGCAAGTTGTAGCCTGAATATATTTGTAAGAAACTTTTTGGAAATTTTGGCCATTACTTTGCTTCCTACACCACATTGAGTGTAGGAATAAGAATTTCACTCAGTTTAGGTTTTTTATTAACACTTCCCCAAATGTGCATTTTTCATGTATGAGATAGAAAGAACTTGATATTTAATATCAGTGAAACATGAGAATAAGCAAAACAAATGGATTGGGCCATCCAAGCAGAGAACTGTGTGTTCAGCTCTTAAAAACCTGGATTTGGATCCCTGTGTATTCAACTATGTTTGTGATGTGGCATTAAATAGCACCATTTTTTTCTGACAGGCTTCCTCCTCCTTAGCAAGTACATGGCA